GAGCTCTATGAACATAATTACAAAATACTTTTCACACAAATAAATTCAGATCTAAACAATTGGAAAAACATCAGTTGCTCATGGGTAGGCCAAGCTAATATAATAAAAATGATAATTCTACCTAAGCTAATTTATTTATTTAGTGCCATACCAATCAAACTACCAAAAATTATTTTATAGAGTTAGAAAAAATAACAAGATTCATTTGGAAGAACAAAAGGTCCAGAGTATCAAGGGAACTAATGAAAAGAAATGCAGGGGAAGGTGGCCTAGCCATTCCAGATCTTAAATTGTATTATAAAGCATCGATCATCAAAACTGTTTGGTACTGGCTAAGAAATAAAGTGGTGAATCAGTGGAATAGGTTAAGTATGCAAGACATAGTAGTCAATGACTACAGTAATCTATTATTTTATAAACTCAAAGACCCCAGCTTCTGGGATAAGAACCCACTCTTTGACAAAAACTGCTGGGAAAACTGGAAAAGAATATGGCAGAAACTAGGCATTGATCAAAATCTCACACCATATACCAAAATAAAGTCAAAATGGGTTCATGATTTAGATATAAAGGCTGATACTATAAGCAAACTGGGAGAGCAAGGAATAGTTTACCTATCAGATCTATGGAGAACAGAAGAATTCATGACCAAACAGGAGATAGAGAACACTATGAAAAGCAAAATGGATAGCTTTGATTACATTAAATTGAAAAGTTTTTGCACAAACAAAGCCAATGCAACTAAGATTAGAAGGAAGGTAGAAAATTGGGAGAGAATTTTTACAATCAGTCTCTCTGATAAGGGCCTCATTTCTAAAATATATAGAGAATTAAGTCAAATTTATAAGAATACAAGTCATTCCCCAATTGATAAATGGTCAAAGGATATGAACAGGCAGTTCTCAGATGAAGAAATTAAAGCCATCTATAGTCATATGAAAAAATGCTCAAAATATTTGAATTTTTTAAAAAATGGTTATTGAATTGAGGAGGAAAAAAAATAGCAGAGATCCCAAACTGAAGGGCTCTAAGGGACCATGTAGGCCAGATTCAATAGATATTGTGGATATGGAATCGTCAGGACTTGGCAACTGAGTATATAGGAGGTGAGAGAGAGAGAGAGAAGAGTCAAAAATATCTTCCATTTTACAGACATGTGATACTGGATAAATAACGGGGTCCAAGACAGAGATAGGAGGGGCATATTTAGGGGGAAAGAGAATAAGTTGAGTATGTGGACTTGTGGAGTTTGAGCTTTTTCTCAAAATTTAATCGTACCAAAACCTGCCTCAACAAATAAAGGATAATAGCTAACATTTATGTATTATTTAAAAGTTTTCAATGTGTTTTTTTATTATATATAATCTCCACTGATTCTCAAAACCCTGGGAAGTAAGTGCTACTATTATCATCTCCATTTTTTAAATGAGGAAACTGAGGTTGAAGGAGGAGGTTTAATGATTTGCCCAGAATCAGAATCACACAGCTAGTAAATATCTGAGGCAGGATTTGAATGCGAGTCTCCCTGACCATGACTAAATTCATACATTGTGCCACCTCCCTGTTCTTGAAAGTGGCAAGAAGGTGGAGTGGGGCTGCTTGATGGTTATGAACCTGCCCCAATCATGGATTGTCTTTGTGGGGTCAGGAAGTCCAAAATGCGTCATTACTGGCCTCTGGTCAAAATCTTAATTTGTTTATTCAGTGCTACAAAAGAGGTTATGTGGCTTTTGCATTTTATATATTTGCATCTTAAACCAATGTGATGGACAGTTTGGTTTCTTTTTATTTTTTTAATGCAGAAAAAGCTGTAAAAATTAGCAGATCTGTTGAAAGGGGAAGAAACCAGGGCCCTCCATGAGTCTCACGTAACGAGTTTGACAGTTAAATACTTTTGGGGTTGTTTATGACAAGCTATGTGAGAAGCTATACTTTATTTTTTTCCCTTTAAAAAATAGTGCTGTTCAGCAGCTGGCTTCTGAGCTTCCGGCCCACAGACTGAGGGGGAATCGAGTGTCTGATCAGAGGGGGATTGCAAGGATCTCTTTGCCAGGGCTGAGGCAGGAATCTCTTGCTTTACCAGTTCTTGGATCTGGGTCACAGTTCTGAGGGGCAGTCCTGGGGCGAGGAGGAGCGCTGGCATGGTGGAGCTTGTTGTGGTGGTGGAGAGAAAACACCTTGCCACCTTATCATAGCACCTTGGAAGGACTGACACTTTTCAGGTCCCTAGAAGTATCTCTGAAAACAGCTGTACAAACCCCCAAAGCTTGGGACAGTACATTCTCCACATTGGAAACAGACTCCTACCTTAACAAAGAGTTTAAAACTCAAGTAATTGGTTGGGATCATGAGCAAGCAGCGCAAAAAGAGTCAGACTATATTATCTTACTTTGGTGACAAAGAAGATCAAAACATACAACCAGAAGAAGAAAACAAAGTCAAAGTTCCTACATCCAAAACTTCCAAGAAAAATATGAATCAGTCCCAGGCCTTGGAAGAGCTCAAAAGGGATTTTGAGAAGCAAGTAAGAGAAGTAGAGGAAAAATTGGGAAGAGAAATGAGAGTGATGCAAGAAAATCATGAAAAGCAAGTTAACAGCCTGCTAAAGGAGACCCAAAAAAATACTGAAGAGAATAACACCTTAAAAAATAGCCTAACCCAAATGGCAAAATAGGTCCAAAAAGCCAATGAAGAAAAGAATGCCCTAAAGAACACAATTGGACAAATGGAAAAGGAAGTCCAAAAGATTACTGAAGAAAATATTTCCTTAAAAATTAGAATAGATCAATTGGACGCTAGTGACTTTATGAGAAATCAAGACATTGTAAAACAAATCCAAAAGAATGAAAAATTAGAAAACACTGTGAAATATCTCATTGGAAAAACAAGTGACCTGGAAAATAGATCTAGGAGAGAGAATTTAAAAATTATTGGACTATCTGAAAGCCATGATCAAAAAAAGAGCCTAGACATCATCTTTCACGAAATCATCAAGGAAAACTGCCCTGATATTTTAGAACCAGAGGGCAAGATAGAAATTGAAAGAATCCACCAATCTCCTCCTGAAAGAGATCCCCAAAGGAAAACTCCTAGGAATATTGTAGCCAAATTTCAGAGTTCCCAGGTCAAGGAGAAAATGTTACAAGCAGCCAGAAAGAAACAATTCAAGTATTGTGGAAACACGATCAGGATAATACAAGATTTAGCAGCTTCTACATTAAGGGACTGCAGGGCATGGAATATAATATTCTGGAGGGCAAAGGAGATAGAATTACAACCAAGAATCACCTACCCAGCAAAACTGAGTATAATTCTTCAGAGGAAAAAAATGGTCATTCAGTGAAATAGAGGACTTTCAAGCATTCTTGATGAAAAGACCAGAGCTGAATAGAAAATTTGACTTTCCAGTACAAGACTCAAGTGGAAAATGAAGAGGTAAACAGGAAAAAGAAATCATAAGAGACTTATTAAGGTTGAACTGTTTACATTCCTGCATGGAAAGATGATATTTGTAACTCATGAGACCTTTGTCATTATTAGGGTAGTTGGAGGGAAAAAATTATACGTATGTATATCGATAGATAGATAGATAGAGGGCACAGGGTGAGTTGAAGACGAAGGGGTCATATCTGGAGAATAAAATTAAGGGGTGAGAGAGGATTATACTAGGAGAAGGAGAAAGAGAAAGGTAAAATGGGGTAAATTATCTCACAAAAATAAAACAGAAAAGAAAAGGCTCTTACACTGGAGGGGAAACGGGAAGGTGAGAGGAAATGAGTGAATCTTATTCTCATAGGATTTGACTTAAGGAGGGTATAACATACACACTCAATTGGGTATGGAAATCTGCCTTACCCTACAGGAAAATAGGAAGGGAAGAGGACAAGAGAATAGGGGGATGATAGAGAGGAGGGCAGATTGGGAAAGGGGGTAATCAGAAGCAAATACTTCTGAGGAGGGAGAGGGTCAAAAGAAAGAACAGAATAAATGGGGGGGCAGGATAGGATTAAGGGAAATAGAGTTAGTTTTTCACAGCATGTCTACTATGGAAGTGTTTTGCATAACTGCACAAGTATAAGTTATATTGAGTTGCTTGCCTTTTCAATGAGGGTGGGTGGGGAGGGAGGAAGGGAGAAAATTTGGAACCCAAAGTTTAAAAAAACACATTTAAAAAAAATGTTTTCACATGCAGCTGGGAAATAAGAAATACAGGAAATGGTGTACAGAAATCTATCCTGCCCTACAGCAAAATAGAAGGGGAAGGGGGGGGAGAGATAGCAGGGAAAGCAGACTAGGGGAAGGGGTATTCAGAATGCATGCAATCTTGGGGTGGAGGGAGGGGCAAAATGGGGTGAAAATTTGGAACTCAAAATCTTGTGGAAGTAAATGTTGAAAACTAAAAATAAAAAAAAATAAATTAAAATAAAATAAAAATTAAAAAATTAAAAAATTTTTAAAAATAGTGCTGTTTACAACCCAAAAAAAGTATTCAAATAAGCTGGTCAGTTAGCATTTGGAAATATCAAAAGTGATACCCTCTTATTAATAGAAACCTTGAGAACAGGATGTTTTCCATAGCAACGGAACAAGGGGCCTCTTTCAATTTACATTAGCATAGCTTCAGAATTGCAGAAGTCACTTTCTGGCAAGTGATACAGAACTGCTGAGTTATCTAAAATTGGAACATTAGTTTTCAGAATGCCTTTAATTGACTAATAATTTGACCAAGACAATTTTTTAAAATTGTGCCATGATATCACATGTATGATTGATATAATTGTTTGCCTTCTCAGTGGGTGGTGGAAGGATGAGTGGGAGGAAGAGAATTTAGAAATCAAAATTTAAAAAGTAAAGGATGTTTAAAATATATATTAATAAACAAATTAAAAAAAAACAACATCAGAAGGAAAACTATGCCAGTTTTGTAATTCTTAGACCCTCTAGATGGGGAAAATAATATCTGCATTGGAAATAAGCTAATGATGTATATTTCACTTCAGGTGCTGAAGGTTTATCAAGAATTCCTTTGTCAATGAAGGGAAAAACTGAATGGGATATTGACAAACAGAGGTCGTAATACTCTTCACCATGCGCAAAGGGGTGCCAAAGGACCCAGAGATAGCAGACCTGTTCTACAAGGAAGATCCTGAAGACATTTTTGTTGACTTACATGAAATTGGACATGGAAGCTTTGGAGCTGTTTATTTTGTGAGTATCATTATAAAAATTCAATTCATTGGAGCCATCGAAGTAACCTTAATCCATCACTCAATCAGTGAGTATTCATTAACTGCCCACTATGTGCCAGGTACTGTTCAAAGTGCTGGGGATACAAGTTCAAGGTATAAAATAATTCTTGCCCTCAAGAAGCTTACGTTCTATTGAGAGAGACCACAAGTATGCATCAGAATATATGCAGTATAAATGTGAGGGGAATAAATCCAAATATGTACAAAGTCAGTAACTCTACTTGGGCTTTTTCTACTTACACAATCTCTCTAGTGTATGTCCCCTTCTCTCTGCTTACATTGCTGCCACCCTGGTGCAGGCCCTCATCAGCTCTCACTACTGTAATAATTTTCCGGTTGATCTCCCTGCATTAAGTCTCTCCCCTTTCCCATCCATCCACTCCTTAGCTACCAGGGTGATTATCTAGAGCTCTGGCAGTTTTGACCATATCCTTCCTCTAGTCAATAAACGCCAATAGCTTCTTATTACCTCCAGGACCAAATCTAAATTTCTCTGTTTGTCATTTGAAGACCTTCACTGCCTGGCCCCTTGATGCCTTTCCAGCCTTCTTAACACGTTACTCCCCTCCAAATGTGCTATGATGCAGCTATCCTGACCTCCGTGCTGGCTACTTTCCATCTCCTGACTCCGTGTTTTGTAGCCATGCCAGGAAGGCTCTCCCTAGTCACCCGGCCTCCTAGCTTCCCCAACTTCTTTCAAGACTCAAATCCTAACTAGTGCAGGAAGCCCTTCGCAATCATCCCTTCACCCCAGTGTCCCTCTGCCTTCCCTCTGAGTTTACTTTCCATTTATACTCTATATAATCTGTAAGTATAATTTTTTTGGATGTTGTCTCCCCATTAGAATGAGAGCTCCTTGAGGGGAGAGACCATGTTTTCACCTTTCTTTTTGTCCCCACTGCCTGACATGCAGTAAGAGTCTAATAAATGCTTATTGAATGACTGACGAGCTAAACTCACATCTTTATGTGTATTCTACAGGATGGAATCTTGCCTCTATTAAGAGCAAAAGTTGGGCTTGAAAGGAATATCTTCATAGTACCTCCTGAAGGTGTACTTGTAGCTCATTTAGCACAGATGGTTGGAGAATGATGCCAATAAGATCAGGGTTCCATGACTTCCAGAGAGGGAAGGAATGAGGAGGTGATATGGAAGGAGTGATGGAAGCCTGTCTCCCCTTGAACCTGCCTCCCTAACCGTGCTCTCCATTAGGGAGTCTGCCTTCTCCCCTTTGCCCCCAGAACGCCGGGCCAGATGAAGGTGGGGGTACCCTTTGCTCCTTATTGCCATTTCCACACCTTTCTTCTGCTACCATGACTCAGCTCCTTGTAGGTTCACTCCACCCAGAACAACCAGCCCTCAGGTCATTCCCAGGCCCTCCTCAAGGCGTCTGCTAGCTGGCTCATAGCCTTCCTCTCCCCCCAATCTCTGCCCTTACACTCAGAGACTTCAATGTGATGTGCACATGTTGATGTCCTCTCAATGACTCTTGCTTTCCAGTTGATCCACTTGCTTCCCAGCTTTCATGATCTACACCCTCACTCCATCCCAGCCGTCCATAGTGATGGCTGTCTCCTTGATCTCATTAGCTATAGGAGATTCACATCCATGATCTAGGACCGTGAAGTTGTTCTCTGAATGAGCCTCCTATTTTCCATTTCTCCCTCTGTACTGTTCCTGCCCGTTCTTTTGTCCTCACTCCACACACTCCTCCCCGCCCAGCCCTCCCTGGCCTTCCTTTTGGCACTTTTCAGATCATGACCCTCTAATTAATGCTTCATCTCTGTGTCATCCTCTACACTGACTCTCAAATATAAATTCCTCTTTTTAGCTTTTAAAGCCCAACACACCCTGGCCCCAAGCTATGTTTCCAGCCTCACTGGATGTTATTTCCCCTCCCACACTCTGAGATTCGGCCAGTTGGCCTGTTTTCTATTCCTCACACACAAAACATCCTCTCTGTGCCTTGCATTGACCATCCCACATGCCTGGAATGCACTCCTTCCGTCCTTCGACTTCATAGCAATCCCTCCCTTCAGACACCTCCTAGGTAGCATTTTCTGCATGAAACCTTTCCTGGATACCCTTTATTGCCTCCAGGAAATTGTATGTTCCTTCAAAGAAAGAATTGTCTCATTTTTGTCCTATGTAGCCCTACCAGCTAGCACACAGTAGGCACTTAATAAATGCTGGTCAAATTGAATTGGATCAAATGGAAAGGAATTAAAGGGCAGAGATTTTTATGTTATGTAGAACAATTAACTTGCCGCAGAATGTGACCTTAACCCCAGCAAGCCACTTTACATGTGTATTCAATTGTTCACAGGAAACATTCAGCGACCTCTTTGTAGGAAGAAGCCAGAGACACTCAAGCCCTGGTACTGGAAAAACTACCCCAACCAGACCAGGCATTAAGTGGGTCACTTGAGACATCTCCCTGTGTGTGGGACAGGCTTATTACAATGACTTCGAAGAAAAAACATGACAAAGCAGCCTTGTAAGAAGAAATCTGAAAGTAACTGATGTCTGCCTGGGCTAAGCAAGGGGCAGAATAGTTCATTGTTAATTGTAGAGTTGTAGTGCGGTCTGGTGCCCTTCCGGGCACTAGCATGTTCTTCAATTGAGGATTATTTTGACAGCAGCATCTAAATGAACTGACTGTGCCATTGTGAGACATCTCCAAAGTTACGAACTTGAACTTGTCCAGACATGTGCCCCTCTCGGGCTAGTCCAACTTTGCCCATTTTACCCCAATGCTATAATTGTCTCGTAGACCAGAGTCTGGGCAGGGCCTGGAAGTCAAAGAACAGGCCCAGTGAGTAAGGTTTACTAGAACAAATCTTCATCTTCAGGAATTGATTGGCCTTGTCTTCTGATACAGTTCAGGCCCAGGCTGCCTGAATGCTGCTTAAGACCCTCCTTTTAGGGGCAGCTAGGTGGCTCAGTGGATAGAACAGACGCTTACTAACTGTGTGACCCTGGGCAAGTCACTTAACCCTGATTGCCTCCCAGAAAAAAAAAAAAAGGAAAAGAAAAGACCCTTTTACTATGACCACAGCTCCTGAGCCAGGAAATGAAGTAGAGGCCTGATTCTGAGCAAAAAAAGTTGAAATCTCTTCTGTCAGGGTCCAGTGTTTCAGGGGCAGGGCCTGTGTTCTGGTGGGAGGAGCATGAGTATGATTGCCAGTGGGTAGGCAGCATGGTGTGGAAACAGCTGGGAAGGGATAATGATAACACCACACTTGGCCTCCAGTCCCTCAGTACCAAAGGGAGTAGGCCAGTTGTTACAGAAAGTATTCTGTAGTAGACTATATCTTTACAGCCACAGAGCTGGCTGAAAAGTACATGGAATACAAGATCTTACTGAATTTATCATTTATCAATTAACACAAATATTTTTTTTTGACTGCGTTGGGCAAAACACACCCTGTCCTCCAACGATGTGTTTCTCACTCACGTTAAGGTCAAACAGGAGTCCTTGACAGAGACAATCACAGAAATAACCTTCTATGATGTTTCTCTGACTCTAAGCCACGATGCAGAAGGCAGGACAACACCCAGGATGAACCAAGTCCAGACAGAAGAGGAATTCCTTAGAAATGATGAGGTTCTGCAGTCCCTTCTGTCTGTGGATAACACCGTGCTGATTGCATGCAGCCCCACAATGCTGCAGAGCCTTCTCAATGAGATCTAGAGTGTGTCTGGTAGAACATAAGCTTCTTGAGGGCAGGGACTACCTTCTTTTTTTCTTTGATCTCCATAGGATATGAACCTAGTAGTGGTATTGCTGGGCCAAAGAATATGCCTATTTTAGTCATTATGGGGGCATGGTTTTGAATTGTCTTCCAGAATAGCTAGATCCATCCATTTCACGTACTACTGTAGGAGTACTGTTTTCTGATAGCCCTTCCAACAATTGTCATTTTCATTTTTGTCGGCTTTGCTAACTTATGGGTGTGAGGTGGAACCTCACAGTTGTTTTAATTTGCATTTTTATGATTATTAGTGATTTGGAGCATTTTTTCATATATGATTTTAGATGATTTATTGATTCCTTGAATCAATAAATAAATTTATTGATAGATTTAATTTCATGTAATTTTTTTGACAGTTTGGATGTTTTCCCTTAAGAAACATTTATGTCCTTTGAGCATTTGTCATTTGAGAAATTTATTGTTATAAATTTGAATCAATTCTTTATATAACTTGGATATCAGACCTTTATCAGAGAAACTTGATGTAAAGTTTTTTCCCAAATAATGTTTTCCCTTGGCTGTATTGGATTTGTCTATGCAAAACCATTTAAATTTTATGTAATTAATTGTTTGTTCTATCTCCTATGATCTTTTGTGTCCCAGTTTTGCCCTGATTTCTCAGTGTTGTCTTGTTTCATTTGTAGGAAGAAAGTCAATATTGATACTCACGTGGTTCAGTGCCTCTATTAGTATAGTACCTCATTGTTTTGTTTTGTTTTGTTTTTTGCAAAAATCTCACATTTAGAGCAATAACAGTTAAATTAGTTTTTACAGACAATAAGAAAACTATGTGACTTTTACCACCATCCACTCCTTTTTTTTTTCTACTACACCATTATCAATAAGGGAAAGAAAACCACATGAGACCAAAGGCCATTTTGTATTTGTCTTTAACAAAGACAAATGGGATGCCATGGCTAAAGAGTTGATATTGCTGGCAGTAGAACAGTAGATAACATTAAATTTGACTTAACCAAATAGCTAATACCAATCAAAACAGGACTTCTTGATTTTTGTGTGTGTCATGAGGGTCTAGAGGAGGTAATGGACTCTTCATAATGCTTGGAAATGAATAAAATAAAATACATTGGATTTCAAAGGAAAGCAATTAGATTGAAATATGGTTATTAACTTTTGTTCAAGTTCACAAGTTAAGAAACCCTAATCTGCAGAAGAAAACATTATGTTACCTCAAACCAAATCA